AAAGCGTCTGCTAAATGACTAAATGTAAATGTAAATGTAAATAATGCATAAGAAGTCTTCCTCCAGTGAAAATGTGGTCTGGTGTGAATCAGGAGAGAAATCTGCACAGATCAAGCAGCGTTTAAAAGCCAAAACAGCTCTAAACAAATATGTAGCTGGATTTTGATGTGAGAGACAACAGGAGATGGACTTTTTCCACTGGAGGAGGAAGCATTATTATGGACTCATATTAAAAACATCTTGATGGATTTGTTTCAGCTTTTGTCTTCTCCAGATGTTAACTGATGGACTGGAGTGCTGTGGATTACTTGTGGATTATTGTGATGTTTTTATCAGCTGTTTGGACTCTCATTCTGACGGCACCCATTCACTGCAGAGCATCCATTGCTGAGACACTGATGCAATGCTACATTTCTCCAAACCTGATGAAGAAACAAACTCATCCTGATCTTGGACGACCTGATAGTGAGTGAATTTTCAGCCGATTTTAATTTTAAAATTAAATATTCCTTGAATAAAATATGTTGCCTATTCTCCCACTACAACAGTAAGAATTATGTAAAAATATGTTTTCAAAGACTTCTAAGAAAATGGACAAATGCATGTGTGAATGAACCAGAGACCTCAATAAAAGATTCATACTAGAAAATTCCATTGACAATTTTTGAAATACAGGAGTCAAAATATTAAATCATTATTGATGCTTGACTCACGTTCAGGGCGTTGGCTCAAAAACATGAAAATATTATGTTGAAAATCTAAGTAAATAAGCATGTTATTATTTGGAGATATGCAGCATCACTAACATTTGTTTAGTTGAATGTTACTTGTGTAATTTAGACATTTGGCTTCAATTACAGGTTAAATGTGTAAAATATCTCTATACTGCCGCCTGCTGGCTGACACAGGTGCCACATCCCTCACATCACAACATGAGTGCAAATTTAGGCAACATGGCTAAAAAATCACATTGGCAAACTCTTACCATAAACTGGTTTTGAAGATGAACCGGTGTGATCTGGATCAGGAAATCACTACACTTTCTCTGAGGGACATTAATACAAACAATTATTAGACTTCCTCATTCAAGAATCAGTATTAACGCTGCACTTTTCAGATAAATCGGGTGAAAAATCCCACACTTACATTGAAGTCGTTTCTAGAGAGCAGAAATCCCGAGGCTGCAGACAGTCTTGAACACCAAATACAAGCAAAGCACTAGAAAAACTATTTAGTAACGGCTAAGCAAACACCCTAGCATCATCATCAATCATTAATGACCAAATGTGAGCCTGGAGCACAAAAGCAGTCATAAGTAGCACAGGAATATTTGTAGCAATAGCCAACAAAACATTGTATGGGTCAAAATTATCCATTTTTCTTTTATGCCAAAAATCATTAGGATATTAAGTAAAGATCATGTTCCATGAAGATATTTTGTAAATTTCCTACCGTAAATATAACAAAACTTAATTTTTGATTAGTAATATGCATTGCTAAGATCTTCATTTGAACAACTTTAAAGATGATTTTCTCAATATTTAGATTTTTTTGCACCCTCAGATTCCAGATTTTCAAATAGTTGCATCTCAACCAAATATTGTCCTATCCTAACAAACATACATCAATGGAAAGATTATTTATCCAATTTCCAAAAATTTACCATTATGACTGGTTTTGTGGTCCAGGGTCACAACTGACGAATCAGATTACATAAAAATTTTTTTTTTAAATATATACATATATAAAACATTTATCAATAAACAGAGCCCATTATACATACATGGAACAATGAAGATTTGTTTTTAAGTTAGACTATGAAATGTCAGTCTATTTTGAAAAAGATTGTGATGCCAAACGTGTTTGTAAAACTAAAATAGCACAGATTTGATATTAAGTGCAACTGCTTCTCACTTCCATTTGAAACAACAACAACCCAGAATCAGTTCATCCCCTCTACAATCACTTTATTGAGTCTTTAAAGCAACAACTGTCTGTAGTTGATGTCTGTGGGAAACATAAGAATGAACATACAACAAAATCAAAAGAAAAATAAATGAAAATTAGATTTTGCTTATTTTTAAGACCAGACTTTAAGCTTGTTTTCGCATTGTGACATTTTCAAGACAATTAACCAAAACTTCCTTTTTGTAATTTCAGCCATTTTTCATTTTTCATAATTATTTTTGTTGGTGAATTACATTACAGTAACTGTACGAAATACTACTGCAAGTACTAGTAATGAAATGATAATGTAACAATTAAAGGCAGTACAACAAATACTACCATACAGGACTTTACTTCATAACTGAATAATATTTCATTGTTTTTTTGGGGGGCAAATGCACTTTTTTGGCAAGACAAAGATCACATGATGCAAGATCTTAATTTTCTTTCATCAAAATACATGCATCTCTTGTTTCTTTGTTTTGAGCGTCAAATGTTCATGTTCTTGACTGGATCCATGAGATTCACCCATGAATATTGAAGTCAAAGTATAAAATAAGCAGCTTTGCAGGTGTTCCATCAGATAGGCTGTAAACGTTTGTATTCTGTAGGGGAATCGTGGGTTGTGTGTGTGTGTGTGTGAGAGAGAGAGAGTGTGAGTGAGAGTGCGTGCATGTGTGTGCGTGCGCATGAGAGTGTGTGCGTGCGTGTGTGTGTGCGCGTGAGAGTGTGTGCGTGCGTGAGTGAGTGTACGTGTGAGTGTGTGAAGAGTGTGTGTGTGCGCGTGTGAGTGTGAGAGAGTGTGTGTGTGAGTGTGAGAGAGTGTGTGCGTGAGTGTGTGTGTGAGAGGGCGTGCGTGTGA